TTTTCTCTCATATTTAAGTGTCATTTTGTTTATGGCTTTTTGTTACTCGCAATCTCGAAATGCGGCGTACTAGCAGCGTAGAGGAGGACAGAGGGAAGTCCCTGTCTGTAGCCACAAATCCGGCGGCACCCTCCCGGAGGCTTCCCATTCCATCTTTCCCGAAAAATTGTGTTCTATAGTCGGGTCGGATTAAGCTGACTCGAGCCGTTGATTTTGTGGCCACAATTTTATGGACACAAACACGGACGTGGCGCCTCGTCTCATAAGACGAGTTCTCTCAAGTGTCGCGGTTAAAGCTAATAAAAGAAACGTTCACCCCTCGCTGTAGGGTTTGTTTATGTGAATGTATGTTAAGTGAATTTCTTTCCAGCCGGAAAGGAAAGTTCGGTACACAGGAAGAAACTTGGTACTGTCGTATGTATACTTTATTCGATTGCGTTTTACCGAGCCGGTTTGCATCTGCAAGGCATACAGTAAACTATAATAAATAACATTTACATTTATAGATTCTAAAAAAGGAAAACAAGATAGAAGAATTTCAAGTAGATATATATTTGATATATATAGTTATATTTTATGGACTTTGTGTAATTATATAGCCTTTGTTAATTTGATACACTGCATAAGCTTTGATTTCAATTAAGAGAAAAAATTGATGAAACTTAAAGTATATACATCACAATGGTGAACTTTGAGAAAAATCTCACAGTAAAGTAAACTAAAGAAATGAGGTAACAGAAATAATCAAGTTTTAAAATTCCATACAAAGGAATTTAAAGAGCTACAATTTAGTGAGATTTGAGAAACATGAACTATGATAGCATTTACATAATCCTATTTATAAATCTACACAATGCAGTAGATTTGATTGAAGACAGCATTTCACAATTGAAAAAATAGAGAGCTTCTCTGAAGAACACTGCTTCAATACTCACTTTAGAACCAAAATAAACAAATACAGTAGATAATTGTCAAGCTCATGTGAACATGAAATTTAAAGATGTGAATGACCAGAAGACAAGAAAAGGGTGCGTAAAATATTTGCTGACAATAAAACTTAACACTTTTGAGCTCAGAGAAATGCAAAACTGTCCCAACATTGAGCACTACTGAAAGGAACCTATTGAAACTGTACACAGAAATATGTTCAAATCATGAACATAAATAAAATACAGTATTAACACTTTTACAAGATCACTATGGGGAAGAATGAAGAAAAAGTTACATGGCTTGGTAAACAATCTACAGACACTTCTATACACCAATTTCAGCACAGTGGATCTATACAATGGAATGCAGGGTGGATTAATTTCCAGACCAGCATCATACATTCATAAGAATTCTTAAAGGAAAATTAAGCAATGGTTCAGGCTAATGGCAATAGTACAAGCATGGTTACACCAAGCAATTCATACTAGAAAAATAAAAATAGCCAGATTTCAACTTTTTTGACCGTTTAAAATGCAAAGAAAAGCTCACTTCTTGCATAATCAATGTTTAAGACCGAATCAAATAAAACTATGTGCTATCCCATAAATATTTTTGAACATCTATAGAAAATATATTTTGAAAAATAATTATGATTTCCTCTTAAAATAGACTTGATTTTATTGGTGATGTTGAGTAACTGCATATACCCAAAATTAAATTTACAGGAACTTATAAACTCTACTGAAGCAATGCCATAAATTTATTATCACAATGGCACAAGCTTCCTTGAAATGACTTATTACACATGATTGCCAGTAAGGTAATAGACAATTCACAATATTTTGTGCACATTACATTTAGAACAATCGAAACTAAGGCTTCTGTTTATCTGTACAAAGTAACTGAAGTTTGGAGTAAATAAAATGTTGCAGACCTTCACTGAAAAAAAAGTACTTTAACCAGAAATAGTAAAATTTTAAAAGGAACAGTTGATACTCAGATAAGATATTGGATACATTTAAGAAATATTACTGTATGTTTGCCCTACTTGAAAGAATGATCTATGGTATGATAAATCAAAACAGAAAACCTTGAAGGGCGATTAAAAATTCAAATAATCTAACGTATTTGTGGCACAGAAGCTTGGTAAAAGAAAATTCTAACTGTGTAAGTGCTTATGGTATGCACTTACACAGAACAAATCACAGATACATCTATGTATATTATCATCCTGCTACCCTGATGCTTTGAAGCAATCCCGATTCCTACAATACGCCACACACTGGTAAAAATAATAATTCTCAGGGTATGAATTAGTTTTACAAGTTGAACTAATATGTGATCAGCACCACAAATATTAACATTTTTGAAAAAGCAGCAATTGATACAATTGCATTAAACTTGAAACTGAGCTGATATCACAGCTATTATTAGCGGGGTGAAAATTTGGGATTTACTGGTCCATTGGTGTAGGATCGCAGCTCAAAGCCAGAGTCTACATTATTGTTGTTGTGCACAGTTGCAGTGTCCATGTCAGACTTGCGGAAAATTATCATTCTCACATCTGTGTGTAGGTAAATGCGGCCTGACTTGGAGCTTGAAAACCTAAGAAGAGAATTAAAGAGATTAGACAGGACTAATGATGAAAAAAGTTGAAAGATACAAGATACTGCTAAAAGCAACCTACCTCAAGTGTATGAGGTAACGCAGCCATTTTTGTGTCAGGTCACTCTCTGGGAAGTCATCTGACACTTCAGTTCCAGTTGGCATGTAAAGAGTGCGTTGGCGTAAAAATGTGTGAGAATTCGAAGGCATGTCGGTCAAGTCATACATTACAACAAACATCTTGATAACTGTCCCCATCGGATTGAACAAGGTAACTTGGATTGTTCCAGATCGTGGAACATTGTATCCTTTTTTACCCAGATTTATATGTCCCTGAAAAAGGAGGATACTTAAATTAGCACTTATTAAACAGAACATAATGATAGCTACCCAAATGCACTTACCAAGTATGGGGTAGAGACTTTGTCATAGTCACCCAATGTGTAGAAGAAAACAGTCACTGGAAGTTTCATATGACGAGGACAGAAAGATCCACTGGCACCAATCTCAGCTGTGAATCCTTGAACAGTGCTCACTGGCTCGAGTCGACCGTTGAGAACAGATTCCTCAAAGCTCCCTGAATTTGAGAAACAAGTTTTTGTTTATAACCCACAACTGCAGGGAAACAAAGTTCAAAGACGTATCTAAAACTTAAATAAAACTAACCAAGTAAAGAAAAACAAGGTGAGAGAGCATGGCAAGGGCCTAAAGTAGGAAAGGTTATTCCAGCATCAGGCGAGCATGGTGAACGAGCTCCACTCTCACTTTCTGTATCATCACTACTTAAACTTAAAGAATCCTCCATTTGAGTAGTGATAGTAGGGGTATCAAACAGTGCACTAAAACATAAAAAATTGCGCACATTAGCATTTACTTGGACCATTCAATGATGAAGTAAATTAGATCCATCATGAACTTACCATCTAATTGCTGATACAGAGATTAGAGAGCTATCATAGTCAAATCGTGTTGTTCCACGGCGGACTGGGGCCGGACTTGATGTTAAAGGTAACCCAGTCCTAGTATGGAACACCATGGATGCAGCAGAATCAAAAGACCTGCGAAAACGTGCCCTCTCCGACGCCGATGGCACATCTTGTCGACTATTGAGAAAATCTTTCTGCATATCATGAGCCACACTTTTGACAAGATGATGAGGACTTGTCTCCTCTTGTTTCAAGTCACTATAAGCAGGTTGAGAAAAGATGGATACACCAGAAATTTCTGAGGCTGAATTTTGAGAATGGTTTGTGTTTTCTTCTTTGGTTTGGCGTGCTTGTGTCTTGGACACACATGAAAGACATAGGCAACTATCCCCATTATCACAATTAAGAAGGGAGGTATATTTATCACAGATTACTTGGTTATTGTGGTCTTCACTGAGATCATTACTTGGCTTGCAACTGTTAGTACCAAAACATGATTGACCTTCACTTATTACACTTGCTTTTGCAGTGCTGAGACTTCTCAAATCACTCCAATTTTTATCACAATGGGTCTCCCCCTTCCCACAACAAGTTATATTCTTCACCTCAACAATCTCTTTCCCACAACTATTGCAGGGAGTTTGACAGACAGTATTGCATTGACAAACACTCCCAACTGAATGCAAGGCTACATCCAGGAGAGAATCAGTCTTATGTGACTTTTTATCATTGTCAGAAGGCAAACTTGCCCGGAACAATTGACAACTTGCATCACTCATGCTATTGCATTCACCCATTTCTTTCAACTTGTGAGAAGACTCTACGGGAGAGAGAGAAAATAGGTTGGGGCGGGCATTTGCTTTGCTCCTGTCCCTAGAAGGAAAAAAAAGACAGCAAACTTAAAATTGAATCAAACAAACTGAAACAGAATATTTGGTTTGAAACACTTACCGAAGAACTGTAAGAACGTTCTTAAGTTCTTGCTGGCTCAGAAGTGATTGTACAGGAGCTGTGGCACCCTTTGATGGACTGACATTAAATGCAGCAGAACCACCAGTTGAACTAGCAGGGATTCCACTTGGATTACAGTTTGTCCCATTAAAATAGTTTGCTTCGGCCACTTCATAACTGCTTTCAGCATCCATCCATGTTTTCACTTGAAGTGAAGAACATGATGCCTCAGCAGTATCCATAACAGGCCGCCTCCTTTTTAAACTACCTGTATTACTTCCATTGCCAGTCAAACCAACACTAGTGTACAGATATTCATCAGCCATCACTGCCAGACCAGATGACCTCTTGGTTGATTCATTAGCAACTCCATCATTTGTATTGCAGCTTAAATGCAAAGAATCCGGGGAAGAAGTTGGCATCGATACTTGGCTGCGGCGTCTCTGCCGAACCTGGACTGGTGATTTAACCTCTTCAATCTCTTCCTCAACCTCACAACTGCAGTGGTGCTTTCCAGGCATGTTGCACTCCATCAGCATCCGATCATCAAGAAGACCTGCAAACAGCACCATACTCTCTAGCCTTGGCACAACCAAAACACCTTTCAGCACTGGAAAGTATTATCATACCTGAAGGTCGACAATGCTTCTCTTGTCCTTGCTCTGTAGTTTGCCTCCTACTTCTTGATGCTGCAGCACGAGGGCACAAGTTTGAGCTCAGACATGGACTGTTATCTCTTTTCCACAGCCGATTAAGCATACCCAAAGGTGTCTCCCCATCAGAAGGAGTATCAGCCTGCCATCTAGCTCCAACAACTGTGGATCACAAGTAAAGTATAAGCAAGGTGTAGGGTTCAACTGGATAAGAGAATTTCACATGGACTCACATACCTTCAGGTGGAAAGCATCGATAAAGAATGGAATCAGGAGCTTCTGAAGCCCTTGGAGGACTACGAAGCCTCTGAGGTGGATCTAGACGACTCTCTCCAAGGGGTAGATTGGCATCCGTTCCTTCCCCTGCACCACCACCTCCTCCAACCATATTGACAACAGAGCCACAGGCAGTTTCTGACACAGGTAGGCAAGGTTTTGACAAGCAAGGCTTCTCTCCCACCTCAAGGGATGGTGTCAAGCATGTGCTGTGAACTGGGCAGTGAATAATCGGAACCAATTCCATTCGCGGCAGAGATCGAGCACACACCTACACAAAGGAGTAAAGAAATGTTTTACATTCATGACAAAGCTCACAAGTTAAAAGGTTTGTATAGAACAACACGATACCTTGATTGAACCATTCTTTCCAACCGAAGCCAAAGGGAAAGTGTGTTCACTTGGTGGTCTTGAGAATTGGCTGGCAAATACTTGTCCCGGCACAGTTATACGATAGCTGATGTTGCTTGGACGGCTCCCTTTACTGCTGCTCCACCAAGCTGACAGTTGAGAGAAATGAAGTTGGGATCTCACAGCTTGTACTAGTCCTCTGGCAAGCATGGGCGCTGGGTCTGAAGTTCTGAAACAGTCACTTCTAGTAAATAAGACGGCCATGAAAGTGGTATTTTTCATTATTTGGTCTTTTAAAATAACATGAGTCATATTTATAATTTAGGTACCTGTTATTGAATGTAATGGTCCATTGTTCAAGCAAGAGATCAGAGGCACATGGCACATTGCTCACATCTGTTGACTGAGCCTTCAGAGCTCCACAAGGACAGTCAGGGCAGAGAAGCACCTCAATACACATTGGAAAATTGTTTTGAAACATAAACTGCATATGCTTTTTGAAGCTATCAGCTCGTTTGCACTGCCAAAAAGAGTATATAATTTAGAATCAAGAGTACAACGATCTCACAAATTCTTACAATTAAGGCACATACCAATAAGTTCTGTTGAGGATTGCAGGAGTGACGCGAAGTTCCATTGCCAAGGCCGTTCACAGAACAATGAGGGCCTTCAGAGTATCCACGAGCATTTCCGCCGCCTGGGACCCGTCCTTCTACAATTAGTGTGCCCAGCTCAACGAAAACATCTTGCGGCTCGGAGCCGCCTTCCCCCTCCATCATGGAGTGCATGGTTGCTAAAACGAACAGGAAACCAACTGATAAAACACTAACCTATGCAAAGCAAATTAACCACCCAATACACTTTGAAGACCAAATGCAGTTTGAGAACTTATACACCTTTACAGAACATGTGCAATATGTTTTTTTTAATCAAAATAAGAGCCATGTCAACAAAATTTTGCAAACAGAACTCAAATGTTTATGCGCAACAGTCCCAGAATATAAAAACCACCCAACCTGTTTTTAATTGTATTATTTTCATCTTGTCTCTTAAATTGCCGTAATAAATTTTTTTATTAAAATAACTTCTATTGTGGTTGTTAGGTATAATCTATTTTAAATAACTTGCGACAGAACGAAAAACTGTGTGGGAGAATTTGCGACAATCTCTCAGATTTGGGTTAGAATATGAAGTGAAAGGCAGAAAAAAGTTGTCTATTATTTTTAATGTGAATGTAGTTTCCAAATGGTTGATTATCTTGCATAAAAAGTTAAAATATACCTTGAAGAAATAATGTAGGACATAATGCAAGAATTTAGGGAATTTCACTTTTCATGATTAAGAGTTATGATTATTTCATGACAGGAAAAAATTGAAATTCGAACGAAAAGTATCAAAACGGTAGCAAAACACAAATTAGCATGTAATTTGTTGACATATTCTCCCCAACTTTCACTTTGTTGCTGCCACCTTTCGCGAATCCGTCTGCTGGATGTGTCACTATTCCAGGGTTTCACCATCCTAACCATCGTTGTCTAAGCGAGATTTCATACTTTACTCGGGCTATACTTTTGACACTAGGCCAAAATAAAAATAAAGATAAGTTCAAACTTCAATTGGACCAACCATAGCGACCCAGACGTTCTGGGAAGTATCCAAAAAGACGTGGAAAAACACAGAGGGAGACGGGCACAACTCGGGGGATCCTGGCACAGTAGAGAGCGAATCTCCGCTAACTCTCGCAACTTGAAACGGTTTGATCATTCGTGGACACATGCCCGCGACACAAAAAACCCTTATGCCACAAATTTGGCAAAGTCCAGGGGTGACCCGATTCCAGGGGCAGGGAACAGGTTTCCAGGAGACAAAGGCTTGTGAGCACCCTCACTCCATTGTCCCTCGATCCACACTGCAGACAGGCCAGCCAGTCCAGTCCTGTCCCGATCATATGTTCCACGGCCAGGACACAAACACGCACTGCGACGTCAACACAACCACTGAAATACTCTGAAATGGTCCACAGTCCGCAGAGAGCCCCAATGCCACTTAGCATTGGCACAATAATTTTGGCAAATGCCATTTAAAAAGTCGCACATAATCCGCGTGACTACTTTCTTGCTCCATTCCCTCTAATATAGTCCTGGTTGAGTCCAGCAGTATATGTACACACAACATCTGATACATCCACCTCACACTTTACAGCGGGCTGATTTAAAGAGCACTTGACAGACATGTCAAACAGGTGGCACAGGTGTTTTCTCCGTAGTTTAATCTTCTCGAAACTTGCATTACCTTTGTTTTAATGTTATCCAGAGGTTCCAAAATTTCCATCGCTGGTACACTCAGGCTATGTGGCCGTGCTCGCCATCGCTTAACTTGGCTCGAGGTTTCCACTCCCCTTTAGCCAGCCCACAGCACTAAATAGTCACTACACACATTTTCACACACTTTCAAACACGGGTCGAAACGCGACGCGAAAACGGACATCACAAATCCGAAGGGACGCGGACACGACCGTCCGGAACGCTGGCCGTTCTTTGTCTGCTCGGGGACTGACGGACGGCCACTGCTGCTGTGCAGCGCCTGGCCAGTACTTCCCCCTCCCGGCGGCAGGTGGCGCTGGCGCCGCGCGATCAGCTGGATGAGCTGCGGCCGAGCTCTCAGCTGATTGGGCGACGCGCTCGGCGCTGCCAACCCACTAAAAATAACACCGACATTGGTCCGGCTCAAATAAGGAAATGCGACGGCGTTAGGGACGCGTTAAGGGGAGGGAAGTGACCCCGGCAAAGGGCCGGGAGGGCCCCGCGTCCGGGCGGCGACCGCGGCGCGGCGGAGGGCGGCGCCGTCAGCGCCCCGCGGAGCGCACTTGCCCGATCAGCTGTTGGGCGAGAGGGAGACGGTGGCGGCGAGAGGGGCGGAGAGCGGAGGACTCTAGGCGTCCTGCCCCGTCGTCCTGTCCACGCGCTGCGCTTAGCTGCGCTGGCCTCGCCTCGCCTGGCTGCGCGGTGCGGGCGCAGGCCAAGCAGCCATCTCCAGGCGACTACTCGCAACAAAAACGCTGTGCTGCGGTGCAGGAGGCGGCTCGCGCGCGGGCAGGCGCAGCAGACCGCGTCCCACCCTGTACACAGCCGCGCGTCTAGCGCGTCCTTGAGGAGCTCTAGAGGCTGCCTCTAGGGCGGGGCGGGCGGGGCGGGCGGGGCTTGAAGCCAGCTGGGCGCGAGGGAAGTGCCAGCCGGGCGCTTGAGCACGTGTGCTGGGCGCGCTTAACGTCCCGTCCTTGATGCAACGCCTCAACCACTACTGTGGCACTTTTGTAAAAAGTACTCATGATTAATATGACATTACTCCTCGTCCTTTCAGATGAACGTTAAGCAACGATTTACACACAGTCGGGAATGAATGAAAACCCGTCCTGCTCGTTTAAGCGCGCCCCGCCCGCTCTGGCTCTGGCTGGAGCTAGAGGCGTCACTGGCGGGGCTGGCGGGGCATGTCATGTGACGACCCGCGACCCGCGCCTAATGAAG